ATTATTTAATTTATTTTTATTATTATTTAATTTGACCAGAGAGAGACAGAGAAAGAAGCAAGCCACCAGGTCCAGGACTTGAACCACAAATGACATGTGGGAACCCAGCACCTTAACCCCCATGTCACCTGCTGGCCTCTGGAAACTGAATAATTTCCTTCTCATCTCAGGGACACTGGACAAATGGATATAGGATGTGGATTTTCCCCCTCATAGGTCTGATGCTCAAGGTAGGGCCTCAGAAGTCCGTGAAACGGATGTGTCAGGGTGTAAATGAGGGACTCATCGTTTACATTGAAGAAGGAGATGGCCCCGCCCTCATAGTCCAGGAAGATCCCCACTCGTCTGGGGGGCGTTTTGGGAGAGAGGTTGATGATACTGGGATTGATTGTAAAATAATTTTGGTCTGCCCGCAGTCCAAGGACCCAGTATCCGTTGCTGGGAGACAAAGTCACATACTTGCCCCTCCTGTCCACGTCGTCCCAGCACACTCCTAAGTACCAGTACTCATTGCAGCCCACGTCCACCTCCCAGTAATGTTTCCCGGTCTGGAAGGCCTGAGTCGCCACCACACACTTCCTGGTAAACCTCTTCTCTGTCTGCGGCACATCCTGGGGAACATTCCTGTAGCACATAGCTCTTAGATTGGAAATGTGGAACTGGGGGTGAGCCGTGTCTGGATCCAGCGTCACCTCCACTAGTCATGTTGGGGGACAGAGAAAGAGCATAAATTACTGGAGGGAGGGAATTCTGAACTGGGCTCAGAGGTCACCCTCTCCCACTGCACTGACTCAGGATGGGACCAGGTGAGGTCCAGGAGGCAGAGTTCATTGGACACCATCCTCCAGATCCTGACCCACCACCAGTTTGGACCGGGCTCTCGCCCATGCGTGAGGGCGGCTGTAAGGCCATTGCCTCTTGTGGTACCATCCCAACCCTACTGCTGTGGCGTGCAAGCCAGTAATTGAGTTTGTGGGATTTTCTTTTCATCATCAACTCACGGCACCTGTGTCCTCCACTTCCTGGATTTCACCTGGGACCCTACCTGGGCTGATGCTCCTCCACTGGGGTCTGGCCTGAGAATTACATCTGGGGTAGGATGCACTCTGGACGGATCAGGGCGTCACAGATTCAGCAGCCCCCTCTCACCCCAAACAGCTCTTCTACACCCACCCAGAGCTCTGAACCATGCCTGGCAGGTTTGTCATGGACCTGGCCGCTTGCTTTCTCACTTTCCCTCTCTCTATCTCCCTCAGATCAAATTAAAATAATAATAGTAACGATAATAACAATTAATTAATTAAACCACAAAAACAAAATGGAAAAGGCTTTGTACACCATCATCCAGTCATGCTTTGGTACCTGCATGCTTCCGGGCCTCTCTCCACTCTGGAAATAAGCAGACAGGGCAGGCGTGTCAGTGCTCACAGGGCAAGATGGGGAGAGGGGTTGCCATTCAGGGTCAAGGAGCCACCGTAACTCTGAGGGCTGTGAGGCCTCTCTGCAAAACGTGCCTCGCTCAGGACCTGCTGACAGTTTCCGGGTCGCCATGGGCGACCCTCTGCCCATGCAGACCCCATGAGCCTCGGGTTATGGGATTTCATACACTGGAACTATGAATAGAAGAGATCATTGGGAACAGGGAATAGTGGCTTCTCTCACCTGACTCTCTGTGCATTTCTCTCCATTCTGAAACCAAGAGCAGCAGAGGTTAGTACACCAGAGCAGAGCGTCGGCAACACAGAGCCCAGAGTGATGGCAGAGGGGGATAACGCTCTTACCCAGTTTCCCCTGGAGTGCCCCTGAAATATAATGCAGCCTTTAACCTGTATCACTGGAGAAAGGCTCACATAATCAAGCCAGGGAAAGCTAAGGGGAACCCCACAGGCTCGTCACCATCTGGGGCCGCACACCTGCAGAGCGCTCACTACATCCACTTTTCCTCTCTATATATACCGAGAGGCAAGATTTAGCGACAATTGGAGAGGGGCTGTCCAGACACTGATTCCCATTCTAAAGCCTCTAGATATGCAGGAACCTTGTTAAAAACAAGGAGGGCAAAGCGCTGCTCTTGTAGCTCTGCCTGTGCTTCCTGTCTGGTCTGAAATCCAGATGGGAAAAGCTCCAATCACGGTGCAGGAAAGGACCCCGAGAGCTGTAACGAGTCACTTACTCAATTTTTCCTGGATTTTCCCTGAAACAGAAACAGAGCACTCAGCGACTGACACAGGAGCGTGCGTGGGATACAAACACAGCCAGGGCCCCTGGCTCAGGTGGTGCCGGATGTGGGGCTGAGGATCGGCTTCCCCAGAACTCCCCCCGTGCCCACCCTGGCTCCTGGGCTCTCTAAGAAGAATAGGAGAGATCAGGGCCACTCACACAGAAGAGAATCATGGGACACTAGGGCCCCCCGGGAGGGAAGAACTGAGATTATCAGAGAGAAGTGAGGAGTGGGGGAAGGGATTGTGCGTGTACACTCAGAGGGAGGGTCAGCCCCCAGGAGGAGAAAATTAACTCTTCAGAGTGAAAACTCTGTTTTAGGCTGAATATTACTTTATCTTGTCTTTTTAAAAATTTGTGTATTTAGAGAGAGAGAGAGAGAGAGACCCTCAAATGCTGAAATGCAACGACCCTCTCCTCGGCCGTCCTGGCCAGCCAGGCACTCTGTGTACTGGCCACCTGGGACCAGACTCTGACCTCCGTGTCTACACCACTGCGTCCATGCACTGAGCCTTAACTCGTCTCCAGCTCCTCTGTAAAAAGCCTCTTCAACTACAGTAAAACATAAAAATTTACCAAATAAACCTCTTGGTGTAATTCTTGGAAATTTATATCCACCTTACAGGTTCTGAAAATCGTTCCTCTCCGAAGTCTGGGCCTTCCTTGGTGTGGACAAGGGTGGGAGCGCTGGCATTTGCTGAGGGAATCATGTCAGACCAGCACGGGAGGAAAATGAACACCACGATCTTTGTGGCCAGGGGCGAGGGGTCCTGGAGCCAAGAGCTGTGAAAACTGTCCCAGGAAGTGGGAGAAGCCTTTGAAACAGAGCAAGAACCCCCTAATGTATTTTTTAGGGTTCCTGAAATATAAAGTCCATTTACATTGTAATGACCCGGAGTAAGGAGTAAGTCTTCAGACTTTGGTTATGATAATGACCAACATGGACCAGGACTGAGGGCCATTTGACCTCTAAAACTCTCACTTAAAGGAAAGGTTTTCATTTCAATGTGTAAGATGTTTTGTAGACTGGAAACTGCTGGTAGTGGGCTCAGAGACTCCAGGCTGAATGGTTCCAGACACCTGAAGAGGAATTTGATGATCTGAGGCCTCACCAATCAAGAATGCCCACAAGCTGATCACGCCCTCTTAAACCAATCACCGAACTGATCACATGCCTGGGACCTCTGCCCCTAATTTTGCCCTTAAAAACGCATGTGGGGAACATCTGGGGGAGACCGGGTCTTTTCAGCATGAGCTGCCCACTCTCCTTGCTTTGCGCTTAGCAATAAAGCTGTACTTTCCTTCATCACACCATGTGCCTATGGCTTGGTTTTATAGCGCTTGGGCGAGTGAACCTGATGTGAGTTCGGTAACACCTTGATCCAGGGCCCACCGGACCGGGAGTCAGCCGTGAGCCCACGCTCCTGTCTCACCTACCTTGGGATTTTGAGAATGAAAGCTTCATCCCAATGAGGCCAGCACATGCACCAGAGCAGAGTAATATCAACAAAATAGAAGCCAGACGCCAGGTTGAGGGCTGGAAAAGTGTCTCTGAAAAACAGAGACCCCTTAATGTTTATCAAACACAAACACAGTAAAGGCAATTCGACTCTCACTTAAGGAATCCTCTCATGACCCAGGATGAAAAGGATATGTTTTCAGTAATTTCTCCTGTAACTTTAAAACTGACTTTCTTTTTGCATATAAAATGAGGTCGAGGCTCTGCTTCATTTTCTTCTAGACAGACAGCACCTGAGACGGCCTCGTTTATTTAAGGACTTGACACAGTTACCCCCGCTGTCCCCTGTCTGCATCAGCTCTCTGTTCAGGCGCGGACCTTGTCCTAGTCCTGGGTTCTGGCTGTTGGCCCATTTGTCTCTCTTGTGCCCCACTGACCGGCTCACCTATGGCCACCACAGGGTACATCTGGGTGTTGAATTGAGTTGAATTGCCCTAAACTACTCCGCACTTGGACGGCAAAGTTCGGCGCCAAGCAGTCTCCGCATACGCTTGAGTGCAGCCTAGAAGTCCGCGGGCAGCCTGCGCCGGAGCTGAGATCAGCCCTGCTAACCACGCAGCTGACCCGTCATCACAGCAAGCAATGCCAGGATGCCAAGTCGTGTCCAGACGGGGGCGCACTTCATCTCCGTGTGTCACTTCCTGGCTTCTGGTTATAAACGCAGCTCCTCACCTGGGGGCTGCGGAACCACCTTCAATCCAAACTGCTGCCCAGATCTGGAGACTTTTTCTTGCTCAGCTTCGTTTTGTTACATTTAACTCACCTTTCGTTTTTGGCATTTGCTGTGACACATAAATTTCTGGAATTAATTTGTCAGGTTTTAAAAATATTCTAATGAGTGTTTTCATGAAATTGTATTAAACATGTAGATCCATTCTGGGAGAGCTGCTATCTCTAAAACATGCATCTTCTTATAAGGATGAGTTATAGCTCCTTTCATTTCAGTTTACTTTGGTGTCCTTTATTAAAGTTTTTTTTTAAGAAAAATTATCTAATTTATTTTACATCAGCATAATTTTATTACCAAAAGCAAATAAAAGTAGTAATTCTCAAAAAAACTATTAAAAAAATCTCTCAAATGCATATGATGAATTTCTTTTTTAAAGGGTATTAACATTGTAAATGTTTTTTAAAACAATTATATATTTATTTAATTCCATTTGTTAGTATTATTTATTTATTTATTTATTATTTATTTACTTTTAGAGAGGTTTTTGCGTGCACTCACCAGAAAGACAGAGAGAAACAGAGAGACAGAAAGCGAGAAATCACCCCCCAGGGGGGATGGTCACACCGCAATCCCTTCTCCTCCATTCTCCTCTCGGGATCTTGGGCATGCATGCACACGTGCCCGGCGTGAGTTTAAGCCACCAGGTCCGGGACTCGAACCATAGTTGACTACATGGGAGTTCGGCAATATAGCCGTTTGCTGGTCCCTATTTTATTTGATTTTTTTACACTTAAAGTATGAATTTATTTTGGTAAAAATTTTTTTGAAATTCATACATAGTTTTCCTATTACACATATTTCCATGAGCTTTTTTCTGAAACATTTTTTTCTTAATTAATTAATTTACATTCATTCCCTGAGCAGCATCGTCACAGCATACAAAATGTGATTTCCCATCTGGAACACACTGCGTAGTGGCTTAATCATGCATGTTATGGTCAATAATTTTCCATTTTTAGTTTATATATATATATATATATATATATATATATATACACATACACACAGAAAGACAGAGAGAGGCAGAGAGATAGAAAGCGAGAATTCACCCCCCAGGGGGGATGGTCACGCCGCAATCCCTTCTCCTCCATTCTCCTCTCGGGATCTTGGGCACGCACACATGCCCGGTGTGAGTTTAAGCCACTGGGTCCGGGACTCGAACCGCGGTTGACTACATGGGAGTTCAGCGACATAGCCATTACGCCAACTGCTGGTCCCTCTAACTACTTTCAATAGCAAGTTTAGCTGGTATAATCAAGAAAAGCAGTTTTAACTTTAATAAATCAAAGAAATGCTAAGGAACTTTGCTTAAAACTTAAAGACAGGAAACAGGTTAGGATTCTGTTCAATAGTAGGTACATCAGCCTATTGACAGCTGAAGACAGGACAAAAGTCCTTAAAACCGGAAAACAAAGCCTAGAAGAAAATCAGCAATGGTTTAGCCAAAAGTCACAGAATGCTATTTCACCAGTTCAGTTTCATGTACTTTATCTTCTGTTGTGGTTTGATCTTCCCAGTTAAATTCTGGGATAAAATATTCAACTCCAGACTTGTCCCTATGATTAAGTTGGCCATTTCTTAGTTTTTGAACTCTTGTTTCTGTGTGTCTGTATTTAGTTTTCCTGGTATAGCACTCCCTTGAGAACTTCTTGGAGATCTGGTCTGGTGCTGGTAAATTCTTTCAGGTTTTGTTTATCTGAGAATGTCCTTGTCTTTTCTTCCCATGTAGAGGATAATATTTCTGAGTACAGTATTCTTGATTGAAATTGCTTTTCCCTTAATATTCCCTTGAATATATTTTCCCATTCTTTCCTCACTCTCATTGTTTCTGAGGAGAGGTCTGCTGTTAGTCTGATGGGATACCCTTTGCAGGTAACCTGCTGTTTTTCTCTTGCCAATCTTAGTATCTTGTCTTTTTCTGTGGTTTTGATCAGTTTGACTATAATGTATCTTGGAGAAGATCTTCTTGAGTTGATTCTATTTAGGGTCCTTTGTATTTCTTGGGACTGGATCTTTGAGTGCCTCTCTAGGTTTGGAACGTTTTCTTGCAAAATTTCATGGAATAGATGATCAATGAATGCCCTTATGAGTCTCTTCACCTTCTGGGATACCAATTATCCAGATATTAGGATGTTTGATAGTATCCAGAATTTTTCTTTTTTGAGAGGTTTTTGCCATAGGGTGTGTACGCTTGCCAGACAGACAGAGAGACAGAGAGACAGAAAGCGAGAAATCACCCCCCAGGGGGATGGTCACACCGCAATCCCTTCTCCTCCATTCTCCTCTCGGGATCTTGGGCACGCACGCCCACACGCCCGGCATGTTTTAAGCCACCCTGTCTGGGATACGAACTGCGGTCGACTACGTGGGAGTCCAGCGACATAGCCATTATGCTAACTGCTGGTCCCAGTATTTCTTGCATATTATGCTCATTTTTGGGGGGCAATTTTTTCAGTCTTTGTGGTGGTTTTTCTAGGCCAGTGATTTTCTCTTCTATATCTGAGATTCGATTTTTCTGTGTGATCTAGTCTGCTTTTAACACTTTCAAGGGAGATTTTGACTTCCTGTGTTATAGCCTTTATCTCTGACAGGTCCGTTTGATTCTTTTTTATAGTGTGTCTTTCCTCTTTTAGCTCTTGCAAGAATTTCCTCACCTCCCGGAACCCATCAGCTCCTTTCTCCTTTCTCTTCTGCAGTTTATTGTCTCTCTTCTCTTCCATCTCTGTTAGCTTCGCCATTATTAATATTCTAAATTCTTTATCAGACATTTCCATGATTTCCATTGAACTGTCTGTGGATGAAGAGGAGTTATTCTTTTCCCTGGGAGGAGAGATATTTTCTTGCTTTCCCATATTTCTTGTGGCCCTGCAGTGATTTCTAGTCCTCTGATGGACAGTGTGTTTCTTCCCAATTCTTAGAGTTCAATCTGAGCATTCAGGAGCGTGCAGAAGGAGGTGATCTGGAATCTCTTTGCCATATGATTTTATCCCTTCATGCAGCAGATTCAGTGGGTATTGAGGACTATGTTAACCCTAGTAGTATTTGGATGTTCGGCTATGGTTCCCTTAGATCCATCTAGAAATACAGAGAATGGAGGTTGAGGAGCAGACTGATGAGATAAAAGGAAAAGAGAAGGAAACAGAGAAGAAATAGAAAAAAAAAAGAAAGAGAGAGAAAAAGAAGGAGAAAAAGAAAAAACAACCAAAACAATTTAGCTTTTATTTTTTTTTAAAAAAGCAAAAACTAAAAATCACTAGTTCTCAGGAGCAATGATGGAGTCTCCTTCTGAGGGCCTACCCATTGCCTCTCCTAGAGGGAAGGGGGAAAGGGGATTATTAGCAAGATAAAGGAGGAACTGAAAGCCAAGAGAATACTTAACCTTAAAAAATTTTTAAAAGGAAAAATTACCAAAAAAATGAGAAAACAGAGAGAGAGGCAGAGAGAGACAGAGACAGAGAGAAGGCTAGAGGGGCTCCCTACCACTTGAACTTTGGGGGCTGGAGGCTGAATTATCAGTAGAAAATCTTCATTTCTCTTTTTTCCCTGAAATCACTCCTTTATTAAAGTTTTATAATTTTTTTCAATAAGCATTTTTTCCTAAGGTTTTTACTTTATGGCATGTGCACTCACCAAAGAGAGAGAGAGAGAGAGAGGAACAGAGACAGTAAGAGAGAGAGTAAGAAATCACCCCCAGGAGGGATGGCCATGCCGTAATCCCTTCCTGTATATTCTCATTTTGGGATATTGAGCACACACACACATACACACACACGGACACACACACACGCCCAAAGTGATTTTCAATCCACAGAGTTCAGGACTTGAGCCATGGTTGGCCATATGGAATCCAGGGTTGTAGCTTCTATACCATTTGCTGGCCCTCAATAAGCACTTGAACATATTTTACTGAACTATTTAACATTTTATTTGCTATCATATATGGTATGTTTGCTTTTTCATTGCTCGTGTATAGAAATGCAATTTTGTTTATTAGTCTTATATCACATGGACATGATGAATTCTTTTGTGGACTGAAAAAACTTAACAGTATAAAATTGTTAATTTTCAGTTTATATCGTCATATAACCAGTGAACAATGGCAAATCTGTTTTTTTCTTTTCTAAAAGTTATAACTCCTTTGTCATAGTCTTCCTTAATTACAATGATTAGTACGCCAATACATTGCTGGAAAAATGCTTAATGCTATCATCTTCATTAAGTTCCTGATTTGACATGATAAATCAATATGTATAATATTTTTTGCAAGTATTTTAAATTTTACTTAACATACTGCTTTGTGTGATGTTTGCTGTATTTTGAGATACTTTCTTATTGCTTTCAAAGAGAGTCCTTTCTATTTCTAGATTCACAAATTTTCTTCTATTTCCAGATTCGGAAGTTTTATTTCTATTTATTTACTTATTTTTATTTATTTGAGAGATTTTTGCTATAGGGTGTGTGCACTCACCACAAAGACAGAGACAGAGAGATACAAAGCGAGAAATCAGCCCCAAGGGGATGGCCGCGGCACACTTCCTTTTTCTCCACTCTCTTCTTGAGATTTTGGGCACATACACATGCCTCATGTGAGTTCTAAGCTGCTGGGTCCAGGACTAGAACCCTGGTTGACAGCATGGGAGTCCAGCGACATAACCATTATGTCATCTACTGGTCCCATCTTTTTGTTTTTATTTGCCAGAGTATGCATGTGCTTGTCAGAGAGAGCTAGGGAAACAGAGAGAGAGAGAAGGAAGAAAGCACTCCCCTAATGAGATGTGGTCATACAACAATTCCTTCCCATTTTTCCACCCTGTTGAGATTGTTTAACACACATGGTCACACACCCAGCATGCTTCTTAAGCTTCCAGGTCCAAGACTCAAACCAAGTGATTAACCATGTGGGATGTGGTGTGCTCTCTCTCTCTCTCCTCTTTTTTTTTTCAGGTTTTTATAGGGTAAGCACACTCACCAGAGAGACAGAGGCAGTGAGAAGGAAAGTGAGAAATCTCCCCCCACGGGATGGCCATATTATTTTGGGAATGCACTAATATACTCCTGGTGTGATTTTCAAGCCACCAGGTCTGGGACTCAAATCATAGTCAGCTAAGTGGGAGTCCAGTGCCTTAACCACCTACCTGCTGGCTTGGGATCAGGCTCTCTTAACCACTAAGTTATGGGGTCAGTCCAAAAGAGTTTTAAATAATGAATGAATGTTGCCATTTTTTTTATCTTATTTGCATCTGTCAAGAAATTTAACTTTTTCACCTTTAATTCTTCTAGTCACTATTGCACTTATATATATTCCAATATGAACTGAACTTTTCATTCCAGAGTAAGCTCAATGTGGCTCTGTTTTAATTCATATTGCCATTAGACAGCATTGTTGCAATGATATCATGTCCTAAAATTTTTTTGAAAACTGTTTCATATACCTGTGCTTGGTGAAAGTTTGTAAATTTCTGGAAATGTGGCCTTTGAAAAATGACTACCAATTCAGGTTTGTTCATGTGTAATTCAAATATTCTATACCCTTACTAATTTTAATCTTATTGAATCACTTTAAAACACACAGTATGATGATTTTTCCTTACATTTCTGTGGATATTTGTTTCTATGTGTCAAAGCTATATTATAAGGTGCATATATAGTAAAGATTTTTATGTTTCTCTGGTAAATGAGCTTTTTATATTTATGGGATAACTAGTATGTTTTTTCTTAAAATAATATTTCTTTTCTTGACACCAATATATCTGTTATGGTACCCCTTTGGTTGACATTTGTCTGGTACCAGGGCCAGGGGATAGTACGGTGGTAACACAAGCAGACACACATGGGAAAGGTCCGAGGTTCTGAGCATTTGGGTACACGTGTGTGCCTGAGACCCAGACTGGCTGTGACTCTCTCAGACTAAATAAATTAATAAACGTTGAAAACACATGGGTCTGGTATTTTTCTCACTTTTTAAATGTTAATAAGTAACTCATATATTTCATATTTTTCTCTCAGAAATGCAATGGTTGGTTTATTTTAATCCAGTCTGACATTTTTTGTCTTTTAACTGGCAAATTAAATTTTTTACATTGATTACAATCATTGGCATATTTTAGTTAATTATTCTGCTACTGTCTACATTTTGGGGGGGTGGAGAGGTCTTTGTTACAGGGTGCACGTGCTTGCCAGAAAGACAGAGAAAGACAAAGAGAAAGCGAGAAATCACCCCCCCAGAGGGAATGGCCACGCCGCAATCCCTTCTCCTCCATTCTCCTCTCGGGATCTTGGGCACCCACGCACACGCGCCCGGCATGAGTTTAAGCCGCCGGGTCCAGGACTTGAACCGCAGTTGACTACATGGGAGTCCAGCGATATAGCCATTATACTAACTGCTGGTCCCCAACAATTTATTTTTTTCTTGACCCTAAAGTTAGTTTTATTAAGTTTTCTATATATTGTTTGGAGGTGAAAGAAACACTTACTTCTGCTCCTGGAAATTGTAATAAAGTCTGTTTCCAGTTAATCAAATGTTTATGATTTTCCTTTTTATACCTCATTTGACTTTAACTTTCAAAACTAATCATTAAAATACTAAACAGTTCTAACACAGGGGCTCCTTTCTTCTGAAGTGTCACACAAGAATTCACCGTCCCTCACGCTCCTCCTCCCTTCTCACCTCCTACCAGCACTCTGGACCTGACGGCCGGGCTCTGCTGGGTGAGCTGGATGGAACAGGACACGCTCCCGGAGCCTTCCTGGATGATAACGGACGTCTCCACATCAACCAGCCCGTGCATGTCTTCGTTCATCTTGGAGTGTGCGGGTAAGTCGTGTCCTTGTGAATTTTCCCACCGCACTATGGGCTGAGATAACCAACCCGAGGACTGGCAGAGCAGCTGGATGCCCCCGTCGACAAACCCCATGAGAGAAATGAGAGGCGTTGAGCCCATCTCTGGGGGAGAAAACAGAGCAGGGATGAAAACAAGGATTCTACCCAAGGTCACTGTTGTCCTCGGCCAGGTTCATCAAACCCACTAACATAACAGTCTCATCCCTCTCTTATTCTTTGTCTCACACACCCAAACTTACTATACTTTTCTAAGTTTTCACAGTCTCCATTTATTCAATTCATAGTAATTGTTCCCTGGATAAATCTCATTGGCTACAATACTGCTACTGCACAAAGCTTTTCAACGTGCATTTAGCAACTGCTAGACTATTGATCTTCAAAAAGTTTATGGGAGATTTTTTTTAATTGCACCCAAATAAACTCCTACGTTCCTTTTTTTTGGAGAGATTTTCACTGTAGGGCACGTGCACTCGCCAGACAGACAGAGACATAGAGACAGAAAGCGAGAAATCACCCCTCAGGGGGGATGGTCACGCCGCAATCCCTTCTCCTCCATTCTCCTCTCGGGATCTTGGGCACGCACGCACACACGCCCGGCGTGAGTTTTAAGCCACCGGGTCCGGGACACAAACCGCAGTCGACTACGTGGGAGTCCAGCGACATAGCCATTACGCCAACTGCTGGTTCCCATAAACTCATACTTTAATTCCATTCTTTCGTGAACTTTTTGAAGTTCCCAGTCATTAGATATGATGAAACAAGTATGACAGAGCTTCTTATAAAAACCCGATGACTAAGCAGAAAAGACAGCCGTAAAGGAATGCATTTGATTGCTAGACTGAGTGTCGGGGAAGTCACAGCTTCCTGACGTGACATTCGTATGTGGCTGTGTCAGAGGAACAGGGGGTGCATTCCAGACAGTGGGACGAGTAGATACCATAATGTGGAAACCAGACATGCCACAGTGCTTTCAAGGACCTAGTCACAGTCGGTGTTTCTGGACTGTAAAGTACAAGGAGAAAAGGAACAGACCATGGAGTGGGTGCACTGGCTGGGGACTGGGGATGTGCCTTCAGAGCTGTGGGGCTGTTGGCTGGTTTCCAGCCAGTGGGAGAGGTGACTTGATCTTTATCTTAAAAAGCTTCCATGCAGCAGCGGGGAGTGGGGGCTAAGAGTGTCCAGATGACCACTGATGAAACTCAAGTAAGAGAAGAGAATGGCAGGAGAAGAGAAAAGCTATGAGAGAAGAGAGTGATTTGGGAGTTTGGTTAAATAGAACTAGCTGGAGTCCCAGGAAGTTATAGCCTAACTTCAGCTTACAACTTGGAGACCAAGGTAAACATTCCTTAGAGGTAGCGTCTACTTGATGGTCATTTGTTATTAACTGTCTCCCCACTCCAGGTAGAGATTACCCTCCATGTGCTATTCTATGCTATCCCCCAGATCTCAGCCAGCATATGGAGATTTATAATGTCTGTATAGTGAATAAATGAGTAAGTTCTTTTTAAAAAAAAAAATATTTATTTACTTTTATTCATTCATTCCTTTTATTTTTTAATTTGACCAGATACACACACACACACACACACACACACACACACAGAGAGAGAGAGAGAGAGAGGGGGGAGTGAGAGAGAAAGCAAGTCACCAGGTCTAGGACTCAAACCGTAGACACCCATGTGGGAGTGTCCAGCACCTTAACCACCTTGCCACCTGCTGGTCCCATGAACGGTATAAGTTCTGAGGAAGGAACTCCAAATAAGACAGTGTAGACTCATCTTCCTCTGCTCACCTATCCAAGTAAAAACATAAACCCTAGAAATAACAAAAGGCAGCCGTGAGGGGACAAAGGTGGCGTGAGGAGGGACCGAGGGCCGAGGAGCAGCACAGCAGCCGAGCACCTACATCTACCTCGAACTGAGATGGAGTTGGTCCGGGCAGTCTCACTCCTTCTCCAGGTTACTGGCAGCTCCAGGTGGACACAGTGGGCCAGGAAAAGGACTGAGCAGGAGTTCCACTGACAAGGAGCAGGGCAAGCACTGTCTGTTCCTGTGGGCCGTAGTCTCTCCTCAGTCACTGGGAGACACTTGGGCATCTGACCGGAGGAGTATCCCCACAGGCAGCACTAGAAGTAGTCAGAAGGGCTCCAGGATTAGCAAGTAAATTAAGTGGACCAAAGTGCCCCAGCGATGACTGGAGGATTAACCGGTCTTGGCCAGCAGGTGGCATGGTGGTTGAGGTTCTGGACTCCCACGTGGTTGGTCATTGTCTGAGCTCCAGACCTGGCAGCTTGCCTTTTCACTTTCCTTCTCTCTGTCTCTCTCTGGTCAAATTAAAAAACAAATGATGATGATTAATAAAATTCAATACATAAAATAATTATTTTAAAATAAATTTTAAAATTGTCTTTGTAATCAAAACTGGTAAAAGTAGATTTGGACCCAAGTGCTAAACCTAAACAGAGGATCTACCTGATTAAATAAAAGGTTTAAATAGGTTTAAAAGGGTTTAAAGAGTCTCCTAATAGCTAAAATACCCATATTTCTTTTTCATTAAAAAAATTATCTATTTTATTTTATTTATTATTACTTTTAAATTTGACCAGAGACAGAGAGAAAGGGAAAGTGAGAAAACAAGCCGCTAGGTCTGGGACGCACCTTAACCACCAAGCCACCTGCCGACCCCATAAAATTTCCATATTTCAATAAAAATTACTCATCACATTAAGAACCAAGAAAATATCTATCTCTTGGTTGAATACAATTAACTGATGCCAAAACCAAGATGAATCAATGTTGGAATTGTCTGACAAAAAGTTTTTAAATAGCTATCACAAAAATGCTTTAATAAATGCATTTTTCTTAAAACAAATGAATATACAGAAAATCTTACAAAAAGAAGTTATAGGGAACCAGCAGTTAGCGTAATGGCTATGTCACTGGACTCCCACGTAGTCGACCGCGATTCGCATCCCAGACCCGGTGACTTAAAACTCACGCCGGGCGCGTGTGCGTGCGTGCCCAAGATCCCGAGAGGAGAATGGAGGAGAAGGGATTGCGGCGTGACCATCCCCCCTGAGGGGTGATTTCTCGCTTTCTGTCTCTATGTCTCTCTCTGTCTGGCGAGCACACGCGCCCTACAGTGAAAACCTCTCCAAAGAAAAAAAAAAAGAAAAAGAAAAAAAAAAAAAAAGAAGTTATATAAAAACATTTGAGTATCACATAGCTTAAAATGTGAGAACTGTAATAAAAAGTTTTGAATGATGTCAATAAGTGGAGATGACAGGATAAAATAGGTGAACCTAAGTATGGAACAATAGAATTCACTGAAACTGAACAAGGACAAAACACATTTTAAAAATATACCCTCAAGGGTTAGCAGGTGGTGTGGTGGTTAAGGCACTGGACTCTCACATGGCTGACTGCAGTCTGAGTCCCAGATTTGGTGGCTTAAATATCAAGTTGGAGGGTGTACATGCATGCCCAAAATCCTGAGAGGAGAATGGAGTAAAAAGATTGTGGCGTAGCCATCCGCCAGGGGGTGATTTCTCACTTTCCCTCTCACCGTCTTGGGGACAGCATGCGTCCTATGGCAAAAATCTAGAATACAGCCTCAAGGACCTATCGGAGAAAAACAAAATGACCCAACATTCATATCATCAGTTTCAGAAGGGGAGGATGAAACAGTGGAGCTGAGGAATTCTTAAATTCAGTAAAAGCATAGAACTACACATTCAAGAAACTGAGTAATCACTGAATGCGAAAGACCCAACTAAACTCTCACTTGGAAATATTACAATTCAATCGTTAAAAGCTAAATAAATCTTGAAAGCAACCAGAAAGAAACCATGCATTACATGTAAAGAAACATAAATTTGAATGACACCGGATTTCTCATCAGAAACCTTGAAGGACAGGAAAAAAATAGCACAATGTTTTTCAAGTATTAAAAGAAAAATAAAGTCAATTGCAGTTTTTATTTAGCAAATCAGAATATTCTCAACTGAAGGAAAACTAAGAGAATCTGATGCTCCCAACCTAACCTTTAAGAATAATTTTTAAAGATTTTTCTCGAAAAGAAAGGAAGTGATAAGGGTCATAGGAAATAAGAAATCATGGAAACAGCAAAAATAAAGGTAAATACAATGGAAAGTCCCCACGAAGTTTTTAAATCATACTTGAGGATTAAAACAAAAATTATAACCCCATCTGATGTGATAGTTACAATGCATGCACATTACAATTATCAAGAAAATGTTATTCGAGAGTAGAGAGTGGAAAGGGCTTACGTGGACGTTTAAGACGTCAAGGCCAGTAAGCTGTGATACATTACTGTGTAACTGAAAGGCCCAAGCAGCTGCTAAGAAAACTGGACACAATTATATACTAAAAACACTCCAAATAAGTAAATAAGGAACTCTGAAAATGTTCTAGTATCTCACAGGAGATCCAGGAAAGAGAAACAGACAAAGAAACAGAGAGAAAAAGCAAAAACCAAATAAAATGGCAAGCATAAGCTTTAATGTTTCAATGATTACCTTAAAAGTTAAGGCACAGCTTGGCAGACACATTGAGAAGAATCCGTAAGAATCCACAGCAAATACTATGGCATATCCAGGCTAGGAATAAAGGGGTGGACAAGAGATACACCATGTGGTCACTCTGCAGAGGCAGGGTGGACCCCTCTTCTCCAATTAAATTTGGCTCACATCACACCGAGCTGGCCTGACCGCGTCACTGTCACATTGATGACATCTCCAAGTGTGCACATGCGAGTTGCCAACCTCTATTACCACACAGGAGCCTGCAGTCAGTCCTCACCTCTAACACACGTGCGTCTGTACTAGGAACCTGCTGCCATACGTGTGCCCACAGTTTGCCCTCACAGCTGAGCACGAGCCCACCACCAACTATGCCCCCCATGGCTGTTTGCCCTGGCCACTTGTTGGACATAGATGCCCTGCCCAAGACTCCACACATTCACAGCGACTGTGGCCCACAACTCTTGCTATTGAGGACCACACACTTGCTGCTGCGGACAGCAGCTGCCTGAGCCAAGAGAAAACAACAGCCCTGCCCCAGAACTAGAGCTGCACCCCCACG